GCTACGTAGATACATACGTAGATGCCACATGGATGCCAAATTCTGTGAAAACACCTAGAACCAGAACGGCCCGTTCCGAAACCAGAACAGGCCGTTCCAAGACTGAGAATAGAATATTCTTTATTAATTTTATTAAAAAATATAATTTAAAATTTTGATATAGAACATTAATTATTAAATAGAATAAATCTATCAAGACTTACTCTTGAAGTAAGTAAATATTTTCTTCATTAAAAATGAAGATAATTTTACCACAAAATAAAAAATAATTAAATAATAAAATAAAAAATAAAAAAAATTAATATATTTATTATATTAGATATAACAACATAATTAAAATATAATTAATAATATATATTTTATAAAATTATTAATATTTTATATATAAAAAAAAGAATGAAAAAAATTTTAGTGGGGGCAAGTGCCCCCACTATGATTAACTTAGATCTGTCCCTGCATACGGTTGTGGTGAAATGTTAGTCCTGTGTATCTTCTTCCTTTACTTCAGGTTCTACCTCTTCAAGAACAGGTTGTTGTTGTTAGGGTACATCATTAATGACTTCAAGGAAAAATACTATGTCATTTCATCCTTTACTATATAGTGTCAATTTGGTAATAAGTGGTTCACTCCAGTTTGAAATGAAATAAAATTTGCTATCATTGTCTTTAGTGATACATTACATTGTCCTTAATAATACACTGTATAGCCTAACTGTTTAGCAATTGAAGTTATCAATTTCCATTGACAATATTACCAAATTCAGTGTTTGAAATGTTTTGTACCTTGGGTCTTTTTCCTTCCATGATTCACAACCGTGAACTATAATCATTGATCGTTTATGCTTAGCAATCTGGAACCAGAACGACCCGTTCTGGTTCTAGGTGTTTTAAAAAAAATGGCATCCACGTGGCATCCACCTATGCATCTACGTGGCATCCACGTGGCCACACAGATAACTCCATTTAAATAATTTGAACATAAGTCCCAAATTGAAACCAATTAATTTATTAGGGACCAAATTGAGACCAATTAATTTATTTGGGACCAAATTGAGACAAAAAATAAAAGTGGGACTAAATTGAAACAAACAATTATTATAAGGGACGAAAATAGGTTTTTAGCCAAATAATTATTTGTATTTAGTATATAAATATTAATTTATATATTTAAGTATAATATTTATTTATATATAATTTATTATAAAATTTAATTTATAACAATATATAAAAGGGGACACATCATACATGATTTTGGTTTTTTAGTTTTATTAGTCAATTTTATCTTTTAATATTACAATTATCTCTTTGTTTATTTAATTCCAAAATTACCCATAACTTAAAAATTTTAGTTTTTCCTATTCTATCATTGCAAGTCAACTACGACTATTTCTTTGTAATAGTAAGTAATTACCTTTTCGTTTTAACATTCTATTTTTTTACTTTTGGTTATTTATTACATCCTTCTAGTTGAGAGTGTATGGGTAGCTCCTTACATGTACTCCTAGACTACCTTAGGTGTGTTGTTTAGGCAGCACACCAGTGATATGTGATATGTGATTGGCGCCACATGCATGAATTTATGAGTCGAGTTCCTGACATCATTGCATGATAAATGAGTGTGCATGTGACACTGATTGTGTATATGTATTGTTTATATGTGATTGGTGCTTGTGACTTGTATTATGTTTATTGTGTGTGTGTTGTCTAACCTTTATTTCTGCACCTGAACCTGAGTGAGATGTTTCTCACTCCCTTGTTGCTCTTTGTATGTGTTTAACTTGTGTTGCAGATGATCATCAACATGAGGATGCTGGTGATGAGGCTTAGGCTTCAGTTGGGCGTGCTCTGATAGGATATTTGATATCAGGGCATAGTTAGGACTAGTTTAGGACTTTAGTTTCTTTCTTTTGTTTGGAAAACCTTTAATTTTATTTCTTTTGTAATTTTCGCAAGTGAAATATGATTATGTATGTGAATGTGAATCCTTTATCTCTTTGTTAATTGAGACTTATCTAATTGAATTTTTTTTTATTCATTCTAATTTTATCTTACAATTATTATGTATTATGTAAGGGGGTAGAGGGTGTCACAATATGAATTGATGGTATGTATAAGAACTAATCCCAAGCGGGACCCTCTATGGATTAGTGGTTTTCGCAAAAGGAGGGTTCATGGAGTCGCCACCAATGTTTTACTCAAAACATTGGAAAAAGGGATAAGGCAATTGATTTCATAAATCAACCTTGGTCATCAATTCCATCATCCAGAAGACAAATTTTCATCCTATACTCCAAAACAAATTTCTTTTTACAAACAAATAAGACATTGAATTGAAGCACAATATGTGTTAGCAACCCAAAAACAAATTAAAGATTAAAGAAATTGTAACCAAAGAGCAAGAATCAATTTATTAAAGAAATTAACTAGTTTCATGAAATGACATTTTACTTTGCAAATGCAGTCATGGAAAGGCATTATTGTGTATATTCTCTCAATGAAAAATAGTTCTTACACTAGGCAACCATTACTCAAGCAAGATAAGTTAGCTTATACCACAAGACATATCACATCATGCCACTATAAATACAACTTCCAATAGCAATTATTCCAGAGAAAAATAGTTTATACCAATGACGTATTATGATAGTGCAGAGCAAAAAAAAATTGGGCATATAATATAATTAACCAGAATGGTCTGTTAGGCACTAAAGACAGGAAACTGAACTGCTATTTGCAACAAATCATGGAAAATCATCTGGGACAAAAAATGAGTTTGTACTTTCAACTTTAAATTATTTAAAAAATGACAATTATTCCAATTATAATAAAAAGTTGGACTACTTTTTGCCTATTGACTACTAAGATGGGTGGTGTTCATTGGATTGTTGCTTATTGTGGCAATGTTGCTTCATGTTTTGCAGTTTCTTTTGGTTGGATTACATTTGAGAGATCGGATTCAATGTATCCTAACCTAGGAGTAATGATTAGTTTTGAATTAGGGATTGATGCGAATGTTTTTCAAAAATAGAACATTACACTGCTTAAGGTAGATCAGTTTCATATCTCTTCCCATCCAACCAATTTCACATTCATATAAATGATTTTTAATTCCCAGCTTCACAATAGTAATCATATTTTGACATGGGCCAAAAGTAATTAAGTGAGTTTCAAATATAAATTGCACGCATAATATCATAGCTGGGCACTGGACATGCAAAATTCTATATGTAAACTTAAATAGTTTAGGCTACTATATAGTTATAACCAACAAGCGCCCACCTGTTGAGGATGCAATTCCAGAGAAAGATTGTCACAAGAAAGACAAACTTATATATATATATATATATATATATATATTATTTTAGTTACTTCACATTTTATTTTTTATTTAGATAAAATACATAGAGATACGATTTGTATAAAGTGTTTTGATTAGAACCTAAAAAAAAAAAAGTGTTTTGATCTAGTTACATATAATAAACATGTATATGCATTAAAACATTAGTTAACTGTGAATTGTAAACTAATTCATATAATAATTAAATATTAATAGAGAATAATTTTAAAATTAAATTATTATTTAAAATAAGTTTTTACACACTGTCAATTAAAAATTTCTTTATTTATAACTTTAAAATAATTATTATAAAAATAAACAGTCTTATCATAAAAAAACACTCCAAATGCATTTTAATCTGTTTTCTAACTATTTAACATTAAAGCTATATAAAAAAAAAAGTCTAGCCTAACATGCTGGAGTTTTTTTTAATATTTTATTTTTATTTTTATTTTTATTTTTAAATTATCGGATTAAATATTGTTGGAATTATTTTATAATATTTGTTTGAAGTAATATTTATATCAAGAGAAAAAAGTTATAATTTTGTTATTTTTTTATAAGATTATTTTTCATACAACTTTAATAAAATATTGTCACCACAATTTTATTTTTGATTATTACCTAAAAAATAATATCTTAATATGTGTATTATATAAATTATTATTATTTATTTTATTTTATCAATGTGACACCTTATTTATATTTTAACAAATATACCAATATAGACTTCTCAAAACCTATCAAACATATTTAGTTTAATATTTTTTTTATTTTATAAAATTAAATAAAATAATAAATATAAAAAGACCAATTTGATTGAGTCCTAAAATCATTAGGCTAGACTAAATATAAAATTTAATGACCATTGAAAATTTGAGTGTTTAAAATTACTTTACATACTTTTATTTTATTTAGTTATATTGAGTTAACCCATTTAACACTTTATTTTGGCATTTGTCTATTTAATGACTTTTTTAATTTATGAACTTTTATCAATTTTACCTTATTTTCGAAGGAAGCTTATTTGACTTAAATCCTAAACCCTACGATACCAAAATCTTAATATGAAAAAGGTTTAAAAAATAAAAAAAATCAACAAAAGTTTATAGAATAAAATTAGTAAAAAATTTATTAAAAAATTAAAAATACATTTAATCTTATAAAATAATATAAAGGTGTTAATTCAAACCTGAAATGTTATTGTATATATCTTGGCCTTAAAACTAGATAAATTTCATCTCCATTAACAGAATTCTTTGAATAGTTTTAGGCAAAAGTAATAATGTATCACAAATTTCTATGAAACTAGATAATTTTCATCTCCTTTAACAGAATTCTTTGAATAGTTTTAGGCAAAAGTAATAATGTATCACAAATTTCTCATTGATAAGGAAAGTAGAGCTTGAAGATATGAATCAAATATTATATTTTGAATTATTTGTGTTGAAACGGATGCTTTTCTCTTTTGTTTTCATTTCTTAGGCACTAGAAACAAACAATAGAGTATGATGCATAAGGTGTTGAAGTAATTTATCGGCACAGACAATGTATCTTCTTTTAATGTTCCTTTCTCTCTCCCCCTAAGAACCTAGACAATGCATCTAACATTAATAATAATCCTTAGTGCAAGACCCATATGGCTTGTTTTCGGTTTAGAATAGAGTTTTATAATATTGAGAGGCAAAAAAAGAAATGAGTAGATGACCCCAGCTAGATTTGGGGGCCTTGACCAAAAACAAGGGAAAACCCTTATTAAAGATCCGCTATGCACTTCTTTCAAGGCGTAATAAAGGACAATTCAATAAGATAAGAGAAAAACACCCCTGGTAAGAGTTGGCAATGTCAGTTGCTAGCTCAAACTGATATGATTATCACATAGAAGTTGCCCAAAAAAATACTGAAAAATGAAAAGTGGCTAAAACAATCATTATTAATTTCTCAAAGTTGAGGAAGAGGAGCTTAAGGGGCAGGTCATTTTATTAGTATTTTACAGTAGCTGTGGCGGTGGTTAATCATCAAAAGCTCTCTTTTTGATGCCAGAGTGAGGTATATAAATGGAGCCTCTTTGCCATTACTTACTCTTTTCTTTGCACTCTCATTCAGATACACATTGCCCTTTACTAATTTTTCTTTTCTCTCTCTAAAAATCTAAGCTTTAGATTTCTCCCTCTAAAAAGCTCCAACCTTTAAATTTTCTCTCTCTCTTTGTGGCACAGTGAAAGGCAGGTTTGTTATGAAGGAGGGAGTTTGAAGAAACCCCATATTGAATAAAGTGGTTTTGATTTGAGGGAAAAGCTTGAATGGAAGGCAGGGTTCCAAAAGTAGGAGGATCAGAAATGGGTATCTTTCTCTTCCCACTTTTAAAGTTGGGTCCTTTTTAATTTTTTTTTTCTCTCTCTTGCAGGGTTGGGTTCTGTATCTCTGACTAGGGCTTGAATGGGGGTATTTATTATGCTGAAATCAATGTTGTTTGCATAATTGACTGCTTCCATGGACTTCTTTTCAGCTCTTTCTTTGAACAGTCTTTTTTAGCCTCCTTTCTCTCTCTCTTGGGGGGGCCTTCTTTATGAATTTTGGTACTTCAAGTTCAGTGCTGGCTTTGGAAATGGTAGCTGCCAAACTCGTGTGAGCTTTGGTACATCTTTTGGGTACTTGGATTTTGTTTTAGCCCTTTGGCAATTTCTCAACATCATTAACTGAAGCTGTTCCATCTCCTTCTGCTTCTAACCTTCTTCCCTTTTTAACTTCATACTTGGACAAGTTTCTAGTTCCTTTAGTTTCTCGAGGGTGTCCTGGATTCTGGTTGATGGTTGTCACTGAATCGTGTTTGTTCAATTTGTGTTGGAACTTGGGAGGCTTCATCGGTTAGTTGGTTTCTTTGAAATTTGACACCACTTTTGATCATTGTTTCATGCTGTACTAGCTGCCATTTACTGTTGAAGGGTACTCTTTTGTGAGTTTTCTCTGATTTCATTATCAGTCAGTTTGAAAGATATCATAGAAAGGAATCTGCTAGTGGGGTGGTTTGATATCACTTGTTAAGAGGGTTGGATATGAGTGACAAAGAGAAGTTTGAGGTGGATAGAAACGAGGATCCTATGAGTTATTCTAGTGGTATGCACTCGGATTGGAGATTTGGGGGTGCACATCTTGCAAGTTCTTCTGTAGGTTTAGTTGGCTTGGGGAATTCTATGAATGTCAACAGAGGGGATTTGATTGGTTCTTCATGTTCCTCTGCTTCAATGATGGACTCATTTGGTCCAAACTACTGGGACAACCCCACCAGTTCCCAAAACTTGGGATTTTGTGACATCAATGGAGGCACTTCAAATACTGCTGGAATCAGAAAAGATGGCTTTGGTTTTGGAAGAGCTGGTCAGGATCATCATGGGGCACTTGAAATGGGTTGGAACCCTGCTAATTCTATGTTACCAAATGGACCAGGGATGTTTCCCCACAGTTTATCTCAGTTTCCAACTGATTCTGGATTCATTGAGAGAGCTGCAAGATTCTCATGCTTCAGTGGAGGGAATTTTGGTGATATGGTGAACTCATATGGGATTCCTCAATCCATGGGGCTGTATGCTGGGAGTGGTGGGACAATGCATGGAGCAAGAGATGCTCTTGCAGGCCATGGCTTGAAATCAGTAACTGGAGGGCAACCTCAGGAAAGTGATATGAATGTAATTGAAGCTACAAAAGATGTGTCTCCATCTGTTGAGCTTCTGGCTGCTAAAGGAAGCCCCCTCAAGAGTGATAAGAGAACTGAAGGCCATGTTATATCTCAAGATGAAGGGAAACAATCTCTTGTTAGGCCCGCTAATGAGTCTGATAGAGCTGAATCTAGTGATGATGGTGGTGGCCAGGGTGATTCGCCAATGATGGAGGGTACTAGTGGGGAACCTTCTACCAAAGGGCTAAACTCAAAGAAAAGGAAAAGAAGTGTGCAGGTATGGTTGTGACTTGTGTTTCAGCTGTATCTACTGTATGTGATGCTTTTTCCCCTTTTGCATTTGATTGTTTTCCTTGTGGTAGGGTGTTGATAATGATAAGGCCAATGGAGCACCAGAACTACCCAGTGAAGGTGCAAAGGACAACCCTGAGAATCAACAAAAGAGAGACCAACAACCAACATCAACCATCAAGGCTTCTGGGAAGAATGCCAAACTGGGGTCTCAAGCTTCTGATCCACCTAAGGAGGAATATATACACGTTAGGGCTCGGCGGGGTCAGGCAACAAATAGCCATAGCCTTGCTGAGAGGGTAAGATTTTTGTGAGAACTTATCTTTGGTGAAAATGAAATTTTTAGATGAAGAATTATAAATTAGATTTTCACTGCAGGTGAGGAGGGAAAAGATAAGTGAGAGGATGAAGTTTCTTCAGGACCTTGTACCTGGGTGCAGCAAGGTGGCTTCTAAATTTAAAACTAGAAGAATTCACTATGTCATATGACATCCTTTTAACATTATTATTACTACTTTTTATGCTTTTAGGTCACTGGCAAGGCAGTAATGCTTGATGAAATCATCAATTATGTACAGTCACTTCAAAGGCAGGTTGAGGTATGGCTGAAAGCTTATCTTCCATTTGCCCTTCCGTGATTCTAAAGTCAGCTAATTGATTTGCACCGAATGTTTTTGGTTCTGCTTAACCTCTGTAGCAGCATATTTATTTCCATAGAACTTCTCATTATTTACCTCCTTTTTCACCATAACATTCTTCTATGTATTTGAAATGACCTCTTTTTTAATCATTCCTCCTGATATCTTATATAATCACTGTTATCTTTGCTGTATTTTGATTAAAGATCCAAGATAAATTGTTTTACCAATTATCATTTATATATAATTGATGCTTGACGTATTTTTTACAATGTTTAACCTCTTTTTTCAAGCTAAATTGACACACCCCTGTTTCATTTGGCAGTTTTTGTCTATGAAACTTGCAACGGTAAATCCCCGGCTGGATTTTAATATTGAAGGGCTTCTTGCTAAAGATGTAAGTTGTTAAATCTATTTACATTCTAGGGGCAAAAAGTTTCTTCTCAGTACAAGTGACTGATCTGATCACCTTGATACATTCCAAAATCCGAACATTATGCCAGATTCTTCAACAACGGCCTGGTCCTTCATCTGCACTGGGGTTTCCTCTAGATGTGTCCATGGCTTTTCCTCCATTACATCCATCTCAACCAGGGCTGATACATCCAATTATTCCCAACATGGGAAACTCATCTGATATCCTTCAAAGAACCATCCATCCACAGTTACCACCCTTGAATGGTGGATTCAAGGAGCCGAATCAGGTATCGATCCATTGCAATAGCAAGCATTGTAATTTCCCATGCACATCATTTCTTTGTTTATAGGAGTAAACACTGAACACTTCAAGTTTGGTTGCTACAGCATGTTAGTAGTAATTAAACATGACAGATTTGTGAATGGATAATTTTTTCTGTAGATTGCTGAACATGAGGAATGTTGAAAATCCTCCATCAAACATACTTACATTTGAGTTACTGTGGCCTTCCTTTGCTGTTGTATAGCAAATTACCTATGTTTCTATGAAATTAACTTTCTCCTATGTTTTGCCTGACCATATTTTACAATGTTATTTTTCATATTATGATACAATTTGCAATAGCTGCCTGAGGTATGGGAGGATGAGCTTCACAATGTTGTACAGATGAGCTTTGCAGCAACTGCTCCCGTGAGTAACCAAGATGTTGATGGTATGCATTCACCAACAAACAACCCCTTTTTGTGAAGTTACATTTTCCCAAACAAACTACCTTTTCTCAATCAAATTATCTTTGCTACATGCTCTTGTAGGTAATGTGTCAGGAAGTCAGATGAAAGTTGAACTTTGATGTTTAGTCTACCTAACATTCATCTTCACAATAGTGCGTATTTTGGCTTTTGGCTTTCATTCTTGTTGGATGGAAATAACCAAGATCAGAGTTTTATACATGACTTACCAAACTTGAAGGCCGTGATCAGAATTCCCTGCAATATATTTTAGATGAGATACTATTGAGTAATGTCCTGGTGTCTAGGCCTTGGGGGGCAGTCACATACCCTTGGGGAGGATTGACTCTAGGTTAGAGGATGTAGAGCAGTATTCATGGATGTTTCCTTTCTTTTCAAGCGTGAATATATGTATCATATGTTTAGAAGTGGAAGTCTATTTTATCAAATAGGTTTGCTCACTAAATATATTAAAGAATGTAAAGACAGGATCTCACTGAGTCTGATCAACCAGGAGAAATTCTAAAGCAATTTTTTTTGTTGGGCTGAGCATAGTTTACAAAATGCTGAGAACCTGTTCATGGTTGAGTTGATGCTTGCTAGGGGCTTGAACATATTGTAATGCTTTTCTGCCCAACATGTAGCTATGTTACATTCTTTGATGGAACATGTTCGGATTTAGACGATACACTAGCATTTTGTTGTAAGTCTTTCATTGGATTATAGCTGTTGATGAGTTGGAATGAGTGCCACAATTAGGATTCTATCATGGTGCAAAGTATTGTTTGTTCCTCCTTTCTCCAATGTCCACAGCCTGTGAAAAACTTGGATATAATATTTTAAAAGTTAGGATACTGGTAAAGATACAGCAAGATATATTAATTAGTTAATGTGATTTATAGTTTAGCTCAAGTAAGCAAAAATGTTTTAAAAAAACTAGTTTTGTAGGGACTCGTATTAGTTTGTTTCAGGTAATAGTAAATCAAATTGACAAGAACTTGAATGGTGAGTAATTATGTACATGCCATGCGTTTCTAATAAGTATTAATATATGATATGTCCACTCGGTACAGGTACATAATTATTCAAGAGTACTCTACAATAGTTAACATCTTGTATAAGTTTTAACATCATTTGTCTTGGCCTCTTATAGAACTCCTGACTGCTAGAAGGAAAACAGATCTATTTAAAGAGAAAAGATACTTGCACGCATTATGATATGTAATATTGTGAATCATTCATTAAAAAACTATAATGGGATCAATTGAGTTCTGTGTATAATAATGGGGACTATTCAGTACAAAAATTAATATGTTTGGTGACAGATGATGACTTGTGTATGTCATTCAAGGAACAAATTTAGTGTTTTTTTGTAACACAACTTTGACAATTTGTATAACAACTTACTATTTTTATCTCCAAAAAAGTTGAGAAAGAAAAAACCATAAGTATCATGCTTTTAATAAAAGGAGTACATACTCTTGCAGCACTGGAAATATTTTCGTAATTCATGTAAGGAGTGTGGTTGTGTAAGTATCATTTTTCGGATATAGGCAATAATGCAACCATAGTGATGGATACATAAATATTAATACATTATTATTACCTTTCATGAGCAGATAACCAGTGATATTTGAAATCTTTGTTTAGATATCAGTTGTTTCCATCAAATTGAACCAACATCCTCATCCAGTACATGATAATAAGTTCCTCTGATTACTGAAAGGGATGTAACCACAATAACAATTCAGAATCAAGACCAGTCAATGACAGCACCAGTACCTCTCTTTTGGCATCTCTATATGGATCTCTAGGATTGCATGTTCTTATTCTTAGAGCTTATCAAAGAGCAAATGAAGCTTGTGTTTGACTTAGATAGCCAAACACAAGCTCTGGCGCGTTTGGTGCATGCATATCTGAGCATTCCAATTCACCTGTCAAAGCTTTAATGTATGATTCAGGGGCTCAGGGCTGACACAAAACGTGTTAAGCAACGACAAATACAAACCAAATTGACTTGAGGGGTTCTGATTAATGAAGTTCATCATAAATACCCCCAACCTGTTTCCCAATCATGGCCTTCTGTGAACAAGGCCAGTGCTTCAGTTGTGTCCCTCCCCCCC